CCAGACGTAGAAAATGCTAATTTGTGAGGCAGCACATTAAGTGCTAGAATAGTTATTGGTGTTAAGGGTTAGGGCAGGGCTGGACACTGAACGCTGATAGGTACTCTCTAACCTCTCTCCCACCACAAAACGGGAAGTGAAAGGAATAAGGCAGAAAGACCTACTGTTTGGAAAACAAAATTGAAACAACTTTAATAAAACAATAATAGTACTAATAAGGAAATCGTAAAATATACAGTGTATATATACTATATACAGATATATACAAATAAATCTAATATTGATCCTGACTACCCCCTGCAACAGTCCCCACTGATGCTGCAGAACAGGCAGCACCAGAGAAGCCCCAGGCTCAGTGGCAGAGAGGAACTGGGCACAGGAGCTGGATTCGGGAACTCAGGGTCGGGATCAAAGGCAGAAGATCAGACAGAGTCCTTGGGTGCCTGCCATTGTGGAAGAGGCCTTAACCCCTGTGATGCCTCAGTTTTATACTGAACAAGACATATATGGGATGGAATACTCTTGTTGGTCACCTGTACTGTCTGTTCCTCACCAGAGGTGCAACCTTTTACTTCCATGTGGCCCCTTTTTACTGCCCAGCACCCCCAGCGTGGCACACAAGAGCCAGCAGTGGCCTTGGTCGCTACAGGAGCAAGTATCAACAAGACCCTCTCTGCATCCCAGTCCCAGGCAGTAGCTGCAAACATCAGGTGTTATCTCTTCTAGTAGCAGACACTGTCTGCAAAAACATGCTGCTAACTTCAGAAAGTGCAGCCCTCTGGAAGAGACTGAGCTGAAAAGTAAAAATCACTGAACAGATTCTGTTTAGCTGAAACCAGGACAATTGGCGATGCAGATACTCCGTATTCCCAGCTGTCTGTCTTCTGTGTTATATTATTTCCTCTTAAAATCACATTGACAGGTTACCTGTCTTGGGGTTTGGTGAGGGTTTTTTGGGGGAGTTATTTCTTTTATTTCAGGGTGGAGTTTTTTGTATTTTTGCTTGGGTTTTTTGGGATGGCATATCCTCTCTCAGTACTAAAGTACAGCACTCTGCTGTCTGCTTCATAGTTCTTTACTGTGGCACTGAACAAGATGGGCATCAACTGTAAAGTAGAAGCTCTTGGTTTGATGAAAGTTACATAATTAATGCTTTTGTTGGGCATTAATCATCCATGAATAAAGGTCTTTCAAGGAAAGAAAAATGTGAATCTTCTTATGACACAAAGCCAAATCTTTTTAATAGTCAAAGTAGCAGTCTAAGAATGCTGGTGTTGTTTGTTCCCGCCAAATTGCCTGTTCTAAACTGTTATGCAAGCACAAGTTCTGCTTGGTGTACAGTCCTAATTGTTTAGGAGCTACACTTCTCTTTTTTTTTTTTTCCCTAGAAATAGCAGTTACTCTAGCATATGCTGTTCTGAGAACCATAACGAGTAGATTTGTGTACTCAAACCCTTTCTTACATAATTCACACCCCTGAAATGTTTTCGTTGAAATGCTGAAGTACTGACCATGAAACTTCAGACACCAAAATGGTGTCTTCAAACTGGTTAAAATATGCAATGCCAAGGGAAGATGCTCTTTTCCTTGTAGCAGTCCTTCCCTTCCCAGTGATTTTCTTCATTCGATCCTCCCATCTTTTCTTAATAATTCCTTTCTTGACTAATTTCTTATTCTGATTCAGTTTTGCCATAGTTTTTTTTAGTGAATCTAGCAGGATTATCTGGTCAGTGTGAGAAAGTTTCAGAAGTGGTCTCAGTTTATGTATCTACCACAAAATTGGCACTATCCTTTTGAATCCTTTTGTCCCCTGCAAGCTGTGTTCGTTGAAGTAATTTTACTTTGTGCATATATATTTTTATAGAGAGATTTTTCTTTCTTCACCACTTTCATTTCTCTCTGTCCCCCTAGTTTATGCACCTCTTGCATTCTGTAAAGCAGAACTTATTTTGTATCCACAATCTGCATTTAAACCATTAGCCTTCATTGTATCACCTTGGCGTGAATGTACGTTCTCCTGGAATTTGTGGCTATTTTTCTGAAAGATAATGCGTGTTGTTTCAAACTCCTGAAGCGGTTTGAATGTCCAGTTAGATTGGAAGTGTATTAAGAGAACCACAATGGATGGCTTTAGTTTGTTGGTGAAGACAGAAGATGATGGGGAGGAGTCATGCTCTATGTTAAGGAGAACCTTGAATGTATAGAAATCAGCTCTGGTGATGGTAGACACTATCAAATGCTTCTGGGTTAAGATCAGAGGAGTTGTCTTCAAGGTGGATCTTACAGTAGGCATCTACTAGCGACCTCCAAACCAAGATGTTGAAGCAGTACTCAGTTAAGCAAGCTTTGAGTCAACAGAACCTGGTTCTTGTGGATGGCTTCAACTGCCCCAGACATTTGTTGACAGAACAGTACAGCAGTTCATATGCAACCCACCAAGTTCCTGGAATGTGAAGGGAACAGCTTCGTCATAAAAATGTTAGATGTGCCAGCCAGGAATGAGGCACTTCTGGACTTGCTACTCACAAGCCAAGAAAACCTGGTTGGTAGTATTTCAGTTAGTGATAGTCTTGGCTGCAGTGGTCACAATATTGTGGCATTTGGGATCCTGCAGAGTCATTGCATGCTGCAGGTTAGTACCAAGACAAAGATTTTAGATTTCAGAAGAGTACACTTTCTGAGGAGAGATTCTATGGGAGACTTCCAGGGAAGATAAAGGAGCTTGTGAGTGCTGGGACATTTTAAAAAAACCTGTAAGCATGGAGCAGTTCCTCCCCTTTAAAGGTAAGACAAGCAAATGGAGCAAGAGACCCCCTCGGCTAAACTCCAAGTTTCTGAGTCTGTTCAAAACCAAAAGAGAAATGTACCCAAGATGGAAAAGTGGATGAATACCAGTTGAGAACTACAAGAGCATTGCCAGAGTGTGCAGAGATGCAGTGAGAAAAGCAAAAGCTCAGCTTGAGTTGAAATTGGCCAGAGATATCAAAAACTACAAGAAAGGGTTTTTCAGATACATAAACTAAGCAGAAATCGAAGGAAGATACTGGCCCACTGATAAACAAGAGAGTCAGTCACCAGCACCCCTGAAAATGCAGAACCGTAGAATAGTTTTGGTTGGAAGAGGCCTTCAAAATTGAGTCCAACTTGAGGTTCTCGACACTTTTTTTACCTCTGTCTTCACCAGCATGGTTGAGCCCCAGGCCTAGGGAGCAAAAATACGGGTCAGTTCAAACACAGACCCACCATCAGTGAAGGAAGAGTTGGTATGTGAACTGTTACAGGAGCTTGACACCTACAAGTGGGTCCTGACAATATCCACCCAAGGATGTTAAGAGTCTGGCTGATGTCATTGTAAGGTTGCTCTCCATAATCTTTTTGAAGTTGTGGAGTTTGGAGGACATCCCAGAATACTGGAAGAAGGCTAATGTCACCTACATCTAGAAGAAAGGCTTATAGGAGGACCGAGGAATTTTTAGGTCCATTGATTTTACTTTGGTTCCTGGGAAAGTTATGGAATGAATCCTACCCAAGACTGTCACAAGTCAAATGAAACACTTGATTGGGAAAAGCCATCACAGATTCACCAGGGGCAAATCGTGCTTGACAAACTTGATCTCATTCTATGACAGAGTAACCTGCTCAGCTGCCATTGGTAGACAACCACCAGCCTTGGAGAAATGTCCACAGTGGAGCGGTAGACATTGTCTACCTGGATTTCTCCAAGGCTTTTGATACGGTTCCCCACAGCCTTCTCCTAAAGTTATAGTCTAGACAAGTGGCCTGTGTGTTGAGCGGGCAACAGGTTGGCAGGCAGCACCCAGAAGGTGATGGTAAATAGCTCCTCATCAAACTGGCAGCCTGTCACAAGTGGGACCAGTATTGGGCCCAGCACTGTTTAGTATCTTCATAAGTGATCTGGATAATGAGATCAATGATGTTTTCTGATGATACCAAAATGAGTGGGGAAGTGGACACTTTGGAAGGGAGAGCCACCCTGCAGGAAGACCTGGATAGGCTGGAAGAATGGGCCAACAAGCAGTTTATGAAGTTCAAGAAAGACAAATGTAAAGTCTGGGAAAACCTCAGAAAGCACAATCCAGGAGTGCAGCACGGATGGCGGTCTGCCTCAGTGGAGAGGGACCTGGGCTCCTGGTGGGCAACAAGCTCAGTATAAGTGAGTATTGTGCTGGGTTGCATCAACAATGGCATCACTAGCAGAGATGAAGAAGTCATTATTCCACTTTACTCAGTGCTTGCCAGGATACACCTGGAATACTGTGTTCGATTTTGCTCCCTGCTATACAAAAAAGATGTGGACAGGCTGAAGAGGTTCTAGAGAAGGGCCACAAAGATGGTCAAAGGACTGGGAAGCCTGCCACGTGAGGAAAGGCTGGAAGAGCAGGGTTTGTTCAGCTTTGAGAAAAGAAGGCTTAGGGCAGAACTTATCATCAAGTTCCCATGCTTAAAGGGTAGCTTAGAAAAAGGTGGAAACTTGCTTTTTACAAGGAGTCGCATGGAAAAGGTGAAGGGTAATGGGTACAAGTTAGTCCTGAGGAGATTCAGATGGGACGCAGGAGAAAATTCCAAGCAGGTATTGGAATAATGTCCTCAGGGAAGTGGTGGATTCCCCAGCACTGGAAACTTAAGAATTCATCTGGACAGGGTGCTGGGCCATCTTGTCTAGAGGGTGCTTTTGCCAAGAAAGTTTGGACCAAATGATCCTTGAGGTACTTTCCAAACTGGTCCAATGTCTGAATTACTTTGGCAATTTGAAATGTCTCAGTCTGTACAACATGATAATTAATTTTTGTAGCTTTTGCTACGGCATAGTATTTCTTTGAAATCTTTTAATTGAAAAGTAGCCATCTCTCTGAGGTCTAGGAGGTAAAGATGACATGGTGTTGCTATTATGAAAACAGTTAAAAGCTTGGCATATGTTAATGATTGAGAACAGATTTTTTTTTTAGGAAACTCATGCTTGAATTCTTATTTTCTTCCAGACTGCATCCTCAGCTATTAAAGGTGCTATCCAGCTGGGAATAGGATACACAGTAGGAAACCTTACATCAAAACCGGACAGAGATGTTCTTATGCAAGACTTCTACGTAGTGGAAAGTGTCTTCCTACCGAGGTAAGAGCAAGCCTATTGAATTTATTTTAGTAGAATATTGTAATGAAACTCTGAACTAGATATTTCAAACAAAGATTGTTTTCCACTTCAGATGAAATGGTGTTAGCATAAGCTTAATGTATGAGAATTTGAAAATTACCCTGTCTTCTTGTTGTCATCGAACACGAAGATAGGGAGAAAACTGGGAAGATCACACCTCAGCTGAAGATTTGAGACTTGTCACTTCCAGAGAAGGAAAGTAGTTGTGATAGTTTCAATTAAAGAAGCTGTTAATTACAATTGGCAGCGATGTGTGGATCTGTATGCAATTAAATACTATATCCAACATTCACGATTGTTTGGTTTCAGTTTAGTTTCTAAAAACTGAGAATAATACTTGCCATTTTGTTGAGGTATTGTCAAAATATATGAAAATTCAGGTCCTTCGGTGTTAGAAGTAATACAAGGATTTTCAGTACACTGTAAAATTCCAGCTTCGACTGTAGCCAGTGACAGGGCTCAGCTCTTACCAGCTGGCTACAGGTTGTGCACTATGACTGCGTTACATTTTGCCACTTCAGCTTCTATCACTGCCAAGTTGATGCTACAGAATTTGCAATAATGCAGCTATGCTGATGGAAGAAATCAAGGTCATAGATGTTTGGGGGCTCAGAAGCTGAAGTACAGTGCCATGTAACTTTTCCAAGTTGCATATTCTATGAACGGACAAAGAAGATTTAAGAAAAATGTGTTTTGAAACCAGGATGACTTACTCCGTTCTGTGTTGTCTGTGTTCGTAGAAGTGCTAAGTATGAGTTGTGCCTGTTGTTTCTGCAAGGACATGCTATGTGTTGGCTGGTTTTGGGAATATTTTCTGTGAGTTTTTCAGAATTTTTTAATGTGAAATTTGAATGCTACTTCATAAACTGTTCCTAGTAATTTACAATCCTTAAAAAATCCTTAAATATCCTTAAAAAATAGTGTTATCGTGCAAATGTTAAACTGACAATGTACAAAATTGCAGGCACTTTGAAGTTGTTCTATCCTCATGTAAATTTGCTTGATTGAACTCCTTCCTCTGAACTGAGATATACTTTAAGGAGAAGAAAATTTATTTCTCATGTGAAATGAAGTTTTATGTTAGATTCTTTAGTTCTTAGTAATTCAAGGTATTCATATCCTTGTTCTGGTGTTTACTGTGGGGTTTGTGCATAGTATTGTAGTCCTTCTCTTGTAGATTAGGTAAATATAGACAAGTTTTCATATACAGCAATCACAAAATTTGGTTTAAAAAACCAAACTACAGCTAAGAAATTTGTGTATCAGGTAACAAAGTCTTTAGTAGTCTGAAAAATGGAGTGAGCCTCATATTTGTGAAACCTGTGACTGTAATAGTGATGCAGACTTCTGTATTTTTTTTGACTGCTATAGTAGGTTGTTTATGGAAATTAAATGAAACATACATGCAAAACTCTTTTATTACATAGCAGAGTTTTGGAAAAAAATCTTTTTTTCTTTTTTTTAAGTGTAGTTTAAAAGTAACAAGTGAAAAAATGCTTTGTAGTCCATAGCATTGCATGTGTTTTCTCTCCTTTGAAACTTAAATGCATGTACAGTCAGAAATGAGATATCTCTGGTTTGTGTTGTTTTAAAGGGAGGGCTATGAGAGATCTTTCTTGGCTTAAAAAGAAAACGAAGTCAGAAGGAGTACCTGTTGTACTAACCTAAAATTTATTATAAAAGCATTAGTAGCGCATTTCTGGACAGTTTTCTGTAAATAAATAAAACATATGAGGAAAAATAAACAATGAAATTAATGGAGCTGCATGGCTTTTTTTTTGCATATCTGTCTAGTAAGCAGGAGTGTATGACAGTGAGTCATCTTGATGGTAATGAAACGCCGCTGTATAAAGAGCAGATGCTGATAACCTTCTGAGTAAAACTAAAAGTTTACTATCCATAACAATCTATTAAAGCCATGATCATTGATTTCTTATGCTAATGCACAGAAATATCAAATTCAAGGTCTTTCCTGTGTCTTGATACAACACACACATTCATTTATCTAAAACGGTTTAAATCCAAATTCGTGTTACTTTGCATAAATTGTAATAATTTAGGATTGCACATAATGGAATGTGTTTCTTTCTTACTGCTTGAGACTGTTTGGACATTTAATCTTTCCTGTTGGCATTATGTGGATCACTCCTGAGTCATATCGTTACGTAGATTTGTTGCTGTAGTCGGAGGTAAAAAGTGAAACTTGGATGTTCTTTCCAGATAGAGCTGCACTTCCAAGGTACATCTCAGGTGCTCTTCTTTTTCCTGGGATGCTACTTACATGTGAAGGCAGCATTGTTAAAAGTCATTAATTTAATGACTTCCCCACCAAACCTTGGATTGGTCTGGGTTGAAAGCAGTTATTGAAATTGGTCACACCAGCAGGTCCAGTAGGTTGATCTGTACTTCAAAGCACCCTGGAGCAAGCGCAGGTTAAGGAAGACCTTTGCCAGATGTCTGGAGATGGAGGAGAACCCGACAGTGCAGCAAGTGTGGTGCTGAAAGCAGGTGCTTACAAGGCAAGGAGCAGCATTTTTCCACTTGCTTTGGGCGTGCGTGATTCAGCAGGAACTCCAGCTTGTGGATTAGCTGAATTTCCCCTTCATTGTGTCCAGTTCACAGCAACCTGCCACTTCGCACACAGCAACCTGCCACTTTGCACGCTGTCCTGCTCCACCCTGCTCCCATGTTTTCCCTGGATCCACTATACCTCACCTGGGTCTGGCATCGAGCCAGAGAGGTGTTTTGTGAAGTCATACGCACCTGCTGCTCTAACAGCAACAGGCCTGTGGTTATGGTGGCAGTGATAAAATACACCTGAGCTAGGAGAAATGCAGCAGAACAGCAGCCTGTGCACCAGCGAACAGAATGGAGTTATCTGTGCCTTTTTATTGTTAGGGGGAAATGGTTAACAGTTGTTTGTAAATTTTATCAGTTGCAGGAGATGAATAGTCTCTGTGTATCTCTCAGCCCCTGCAATAAACCTCAGTACCACCTGTACTTCAGCTTTGGTAACTTCAGCAAAACACTTCCAATGGTGTTCAAGATTCATGAAGAAGGGAGAAAAATGCCAGGGAAAAAGAGGAGTCAGTTCAGAACTGAACAACTGCTCTGCTTATTGAGGGAGCTAATGATGTAAATCAGGAGTAACTCCATGGATTGCAGGTTATGTCTGATGCAGAGTTACTTTGTAACTGGATTAAATTGGTCAGAGTTCACCCAGATTTGTTTAGGTGTATATTTCAGGAAATTACTTTGAGTGAATTACAGGTATCTCTGTACAGTGGGTGGATTTGAATTGCAAAGGTGCTTGTTTTCCTGTACAAATTGTGGTGAAGGGGGTGGGGAAGTGCCTTTGTTGCTTTCTGCTTCACATTGTGGCATACTTTTTGTCCCTTTCTCTTCAGGCTGCCTAGGAGTTTATAATATGTTGTTTTGGGGAGTTAAGTGAGGTAGTTCCAGGGACTGGTATAAATGAGTTCATTGAGAGCCATTGTTCAGATTGAATGTAAGTGGCGCTATGTAAATGGGCTCCTTGGACAGAGAAACAACTGCCATCTACAGTGACCCAATTGATTTGAGTGATACAGTGCCTAAGTCTCTGTCTGGTTCCCTGAGTGGTTTGATTCAGGTGAGGATCTGGGTCCAGGTAATGTGGCCATGGTTTGAAGGGCTCATTGCTAAGCTGATAAACCTGGCTGTGTAAGGCAGTGGTGGCTTGAGCTGATTGCCGAACCATGGGGCCATGCAGCTGCTTGTGGGTGGGCAGTGTTGGGCAGTTTGCTGAGTGGTTCCAGTAGGCACATTTTTGGTGATGATGCTTGGTAAGCCTAACAGAAGCTGCTCCGATCTGTCAGCTAACTTTGGCTAGTCAGTTGTATGCAGCTTCAGAAATGCAGAGGATTCGAAGCAAGGCAGTATGTTTCACGCTCTATCTCTCTGTTTTCTTAGATGGAGACTGCTGTTAAGTGCAACTGTGAGTTTGACCTTTTTGCAGCAAGCTGTTAATCAGTCCTGTGTGCTTCCCTTACCAAAATGCTTCATTTTCAGGGTCTAGACCCTGCATATTGGTAACACTTGCTGTGGTTTCTAATTTAACTAGTAAATGTGTTAGATACTGTTGACCTCTATGCACCCTGGAGCTACGGTCATCTGTACAGTGAACAGACTCAATTACAAATTGCTTTCTTGTGATGCTAATAAAAGATTATTCAATGCTTTCTGCTATTTAATGTCCAAAGCTTAGTGTTATATTACGATAGTCTGGGTTTTAGCCTGCATCTAAAACTGAAGTGTGCTATTTTCTGATGTGTTTTTAAGGTCCGATTTAGAAAAACAAAGAAGAGTGACACTTGCCCTTGGAAATATTTTTTTTTTTTTGTGAAACCTGTGTCATAGGCTACCTGGTGGGCTAAGTAATGTCTTTGTAATTAAAGAATGCTCCATAAGCTTAGTGTGAATAGTACTCAGATATTCACAGTTACACTTAGTTGTTATGTAACTTATGCCGCTGTATTTGTTTCTAGCTGGGCAGTTTCACAAGACAGATAAGAAAGTGGCCTGAAACCTTTGATAAAGTGTTGCTGCTCTTTGGTGCTCTGGTTGTAGAGATGAACAGGATGGCCCAAGCTCTGAAACACATTTTATGGTTTGTGAGTAGAATGGTAGCACAGATAGGAGGAAGTAGTTTCTGTTTGCAGAATAGATAGTACTCGAAACCAGGATACTGTGGCAACAAATACAAAAACATGTATGTTATGTATTCTGGTCTTAGCTGCTTCTATTATTGTCAAATTCTTGGTAAACCTGTGATAACCTGGATACTTCTGTAGTTATGTAGACGTACTTAAACTATTGTTAAAGTATTTGAAGATTCCTTAATGGCATCTCCATTTGTTTGTGAAATATTTGTGTCATCATCATCCTAAGAAAATGACTGTGTATTCAGCTGTTACTGTTTTGAAGATATTTACTGTTCATGGTTGTATTTCAAAGCTGCCTGATGGGGAACTGCTTAGGATAGAATATAGTAATGGAAAGTATAGGAAAACATACAGTGACAAATAAGGATATTGCCACTGGACTTCATCCCAAAGTATGCAAAATACAAATACACATCTGTTTTTACAGGTAGCTCTAATACCTGCTTCTATCACGTGATAAACAATTGCTGTCCTGAAAAGATACATGGGAAGTCAATACACCAAAGCACTACCTGATTTCTCAGTGTGTATGCAGTTTGTAGAGTTTAAACACATTTTTATGCGTTGTAAAAGAGCAGCTTTATCCAAGAACGTTGAAACTGAGATTGGATACTCTTTAGTTTTTGATATTGTAGCATTTAATCTTAGCTGTTTTATTTAGATCTTAAGGTTTAAAAAAGAGTTGGTTTCACATGAGAGAACTGAAGTGGTCCTCCTCTTTGCTTTTTTAACAAAATGTACAAGAAGGGTGAATGTGGGCCCATGATTACAGTGTAACTATTTCTTTTGTTAACAGCTGCATAAGAGCCTGTTAACATTGCTCTGAGAAAAAGGCTTGCTACCAAGAGATGCAGCTAGCCTTCTCTGCCTCTTCAGATAGGTGTGCTGTCTCCTGACTACATCCTACCAGGCTGAGGCCGTAGTAAAGAAGAGCTACCAAGAAACGTGTCTAGGTGTCTTGTTTAGCAAAGTTTTTGAGCCATAGGATTAGCCATTAAAAATATAATTAGTTTTAGTTCATTTTTAGTTTGATATTGTACCCCTACACTTCAAATCAACCCTCAACATTTACCAAGAGTCAGGTTAAGGAATACATACTGTCATTTCTAGATGTGTTAGAAATCTAAAATTTAAGTATTAAAGCAAACTTGCACAGTAAGCTTAATCTCTCTTTTTTGTGTGTGTGCTTACCTACCTTTTGTGTTTGTGCTGTCTTACAGCCAAGATTATTAAAATAACTCATAAATTTACAACTGCTTCTTAATCTTTCCAAAGCCTATATTGTTTGTCATGATTCTGATACAGAAACTTGAGTTCTTCAAGATTGTCAGAATTAAAGCTGGTATTTCAAGCCTGTATTCTTCCTTTTTATTTATTTTTTTTCATTAGACCTGTGACCTAAACTACCTGAGAGGAAAATTACACTATGCATCCAGATATATAAAACTTAATATTAGACAAGACTGGCAGTGTTCTGAGCATCTGAAAGACTTTGTAAGAGAAAGCATCAGCCAATCTTATTGTGAAGAAAAACCACCATCTACAATATTCGGTTTAGAATCCTAATGATTTTCATTTTCTAGTGTATAATGGAAGAGTAAAATACATGTGGATTTGATTTTAATACCTTGGAGTTGCAATATGGTAGACCATAGAGTGATCAGATTAGTTCGTTAGGACTATGCAGCCTTCACTAACTGCTAACCATGTGGTTTAGCACTCCAAGAAGCAGCAGTATTCTAAAGTTATGTATCCTTTGTCATCCACACCCGTCTTTTTTTTTTTTTTTTTTTTTTTTTGTGATTTCCAGGCAGAAACCAAGTTGGTTTTTTCCCTCCTTTCATCTCCTATTCAGGAGACTGAAACATATGCATTTCTGGAGACTGAGGATGCTTGTTCACCAGATCACACTGTTTAAGTAGCACCAGTTCAGTTCTGTTGGGTTTTGGTGATATGCATGCAGGGGCAGCTAGGTGGGTTGAGCAGACTTCTGTCATTGAGTTGTTATTAATGGAAGGTGACATTCTTATGACAAGCATTGATAGTACAGGATCAAAGCTCTTAAGTACTTTCATTGTATAATTTAGTCTTTGCAGGAATATTGCTTGCGGTTTATTCCTTTTCATGTCTGTGAATTATTAGCTTTTTTTCTTTTTTATTATTTTTTAAATTTTTTTTGTATACTTTGGATATTCCTGTTGCCAAATGTAGAGGTACGTGCTACATTTCTGAATAATTTTGTCAGAGTAAATAAGTAAAAAAGTGCTACAAGAGCTGATTTTGGCCACTGTGTCAAGTCTTGGATTTTGTACTCATTTATCATTGAGAGACTCACCAAAATTTGTCTTAAAGCTGTTCTTGTTTGTACTGAAATCATAATGTAGAACTTTGTTCTTCCACTTAAAAGCCTTTTAGTTTCCGTCATAAATTAATCCACAGACAGTTTTTGTGTTATTTTTTCTTCTGGCAGTGTTTCACTGCTGACCTCTTCCTTTAGCTTAAATTATGTACTATATATATCTAAAGACTCATACAACTGCAGCCTAAAAATACAGTGAGATCATAAGTGTTAAACAAGGAAAGAGCTCAGAAGGCTAGAGTGAATTATTTTCTTAATTATTTTTTTGCTTTAAAAGGACCATCTTCTGGGCTGATCACCCTAGTAGTCTTTGTCTGTACTTCTGGTTTGAATCTGTATCTTGCATATAACTGCATACCATTTTCCAGAGTTCCCCAAAGGGTCTGCATCCTTTAGAATTCCTATTTAACCAACTGAGCATGTAAAGCTAGTGCTAGTTTAGGTTAGGCAGACTAAAAGCCACTTTAAGATCAGCAAAGCCGGAGTAGATTCCCAGTTGTGGACTGTACTAGCACGAAGGAAAGAGGATATCAATAACTGCATTTGGCCTGCAGAAGAGACTGAGTGTGCCATTTTATTAGTAAGGCTGAGGCAATCAGTGTTGCTGCCACTGAAAAACATGCATAATCCTGCTTCCTTTCCACTGCTCTGGCCGCATGGTTCTGCCCTATGTGTTTATGCTGTCATTCATATCCATCTGACTCTCCTGCAGACCAGTTCAGGTCATCAAGCTAGTGTGAAGTCGTTTTGCTGCATCGACTTCCAAAATTTTGCAAGAGCTTACATGAGGTGGGGGTAACCCATCCTGTGCCAGTAAGCAGTTAGAACTGGCTTACCTTGGAGTAGTATCAGAAGTGGTAGCATTAGTTTAAACACAATCTTCAGGCAAATGGACATGAGTCATGAAAAGAGTAATTTGCTTTAGGGTTAGAGGAAGGAATCCACTGGCAGCATTCTGTCTTTTGCAGGCATTTCTGCTACTCTCATCAGTCATGATAAGGAGGTGTATCTGCATTTATGACTCTTGTCTCAGAAGGCCAATGGTTGATTTAGGCAGCTTTATGGTAAAACTAGCTACGAGATGGAAGTCGCTAAAAATTGCTCAGCAATAATTTGTTTTGGTTTATTTTTATTTTTGTTTACAGTGAAGGAAGCAATCTCACCCCTGCTCATCATTACCCTGACTTCAGATTTAAGACGTATGCACCTCTTGCCTTCCGCTATTTCAGAGAACTTTTTGGTATCAAGCCTGATGATTACTTGGTAAGAGCTTGCAGTTTTCCTTTGAGTTACAAATTATTATCATGTATACTAGTTTCATAGTGACAGAAGATGATGTTTTGATGGTGCCCAAATGGGTAGTAAATTTGGTGTGTAGAGTGGTTTTTAACTCGTGAATGTTTTTATTGGCTTATGAAAATTTCAGTTCTTCATCTTTGAAAAGATTCCTGTAAAAACCTGCCTAGATAATTGACGAGACTAAGTTGACTTACTGTTAATTCAGGTCATTGTTTCTAGAGAAGTTACAAGGAGTACTTGCGTGACTTCTATGAATTCAGTTCTAAAAAAATGCTCTTGTGTTATTTATTCACTTCATTAATAGTTCGTCTGCAAATACTCCAGTTTAGCCTCCATAAAAGTGGATGGTGGGCTGAAAAAGAAGCATTTTGGAGTATCTCCTTTGTTCTCTGAATTTTATAGTTTGAAGACTTACTTATTTAGATGTTTAGTTGAGGAAAAAAAAGTGATGCATTTGCTGCTTTCATAAAAGCAGTCTTTACTTGGTAGAACCACTTTGTGCACTGCCAGGGATGAAGATCCACTGTTTCACTTCTCCTGTACTGCATTTGGAAGGGTAGTGTGAAAGCAAAGATCTGGATTCTTTTCTAGATGTTTGTCTCATTCTGGTCCACCCAGCAAACCAGAGTCCCAAAACAAATTAATGATTTTATATGCCAGAGGTTTATTGTTAACTTCTTTCAAATGAGTTTTTTAGATCTCTTTGTTCCCTTATTATTGTTTCTTTAAAACCAAAAAAAAATTGAAAAAGATTAAATGAGTGAAAAATAAAATTTGATTGAATGGTGCTGAAATGTTACTTAATGTATTATTTCACTGACTTCTGCTGTGTTAAAGGGTGTTACAAGAGTTTTCTTCCCTTCTTGGACAACAAGCCTAAAATCAAAACTTAGCTGGTTTGCTTTTATATAGGTTGGATGTATACCATGTATGGATTTTGTATTATTAGCCGTCATGACATTACGTATGAAAACAGATCATTCCTTTGAATTATAGTTGTCGGTAGGAGGTAAGTACAGTTGGGTTGGAGTTTTATAAATCACAGAATCATAGAATGGTTTGCATTAGAAGAGACCTTAAAGATCATCTCGTTCCAACCCTGCTGCCATGGGCAGAGACACCTCCTAGTAGACCAGGTTGCTCAAAGCCTCATCCAGCCTAGCCTTGAACACTTCTAGGGATGAGGCTTCCATAGCTTCTCTGCACAACCTGTTCCAGTGCTTCACAATCCCCACAGAAAATAATTTCTTCCTAACATCTAATCTCAATCTACCCTATTTTGGTTTGAAAGCATTATCCCTTGTCCTACCACTACACTTGCTAATGAAGAGTCCCTCCCCTTCTTTTCTGTAGGCCCTCTTCATGTACTGGAAGGCCGCTCTGAGGTCTGCCCGGAGCCTCCTCTTCTGCAGGCTGAACAACTCCAACTCTCTCAGTCTCGTAGGAGAGGTGCTCCAGCCCTTTGATTATCTTTGTGGCCCTCCTCTGGACACTCTCTAATAGGTCCCTGTCCTTTTTATGTTGGGGGCCCCAGAGCTGAATGCAGTACCAAAGGTGGGGTCTCTGGAGAGCAGAGAAGAGGGGGAAAGTCACCTGCCTTGACCTGCTGGTCACAATTCTTTTGACTTTCTGCGCTGCAAGTGCGCATTGCTGCTGATATTCAGTTCCTCATCCACCAACACCCACGAGTCCTTCTGCACAGGGCTACTCTCAATCCACTCATTGCCCAGCCTGTATTTGTGTTTGGAATTGCCCTGACCCAGGTGCAAGACCTTGCTGAACTTCATGAGGTTTACACAGGCTCAACTCTCAGGCCTGTCAAGGGAATGGCATCCCTTCCCTCTTGCACCACACTGCTTGGCTTCATTGGTAAACATGCTGAGGATGTGCTCAAGCCCACTTTCCAGGTTCAGAAGTACGTGTATCATAGTTATCTGGAAGCTGTAGATAATCTTCCATCCTGCTGGCAATTGCTTCCCAGTCATGTTTCCTTTTAGTGCCAGCCGCAAACCATCCAGCTTGTCTAGCTTTGCCTCAGAATAACACCAGTCCTAATACCGACCTGGAATGAACACCGCTCATCACTGATCTCCACTCAGACATCAAGCCATTGACCACAACTCTTTGAGTGTAACCAATTTCCTATTCACTGAGCGGTCCATCTGTCAAATCCATGCCTCTTCAGTTTAGAGACAAGAATGTCATGTGGGACAATGGTGACATTATGTATTACACTATTTATCTATGTCCTTTTTTGAATGTGGTGAAAGATGAAATATACAGGCTCTGTTGTGAGCTGCTAAAAAGACTGTCGTTCCTAGAGTAAAGCTGTTGTCATCTGCAACTTCTGTTCCATCCAAGGAAACATTTGCAGTAGTTTAAATTATGGAAAGGTTGCTTGCTGTTGTTAAGAGATTTGTGACACTCAGTTTAGCTACAAAATGACTAATCCCTTTGGGAAATTCCCATTAAAGGGACCTTGTTGCAGATTCTTTTTCCTCTTGACACAGCAAAAGACAGTGATGGTATGTTTCCAACAAAAAGGGGTAGCTAGAGAAGCTAATTTCAAGACTAAGTGGACCTCCTTCAAAATTCAAAAGCAGATTTACTTCAACAAAGAGGTATTTTTGTGAAATATAGTTAGAATTTCAGTCTGTCTTGTTGTGATTGTTAGGGTTATAGTTGCTCTGCAAGTGTGTTAGAACCTGCTTATTTTGTTTCTGGTTCTAAGGGGACACTGCTTTGCAATTAGAGTGAGTCGCGGTCCTCTGCAGTCTAGAGGCAGATGTAGTCAGAGAAGTTCTGTGATCATAAACCGAAACTATTTTTAGTTTGGTTATGATGAAAACATCTGGTTAAGATTTTGCTCCCAATAGGATACATCAGAGTTCTGGCTGAACAGTCACTGCTGTTTATGTGAAATCTGGATCTGTCATGCAGTGACCATAATTCCAATTCAGTCTCTAAAACACTCTATTGTAACAATAGGCCAAGTGATGGCCCAACTGTGGCTGAAGGGAAAGCAAAGTAATGTAAAAAGAAGAGAGATTACACTAAACACGTGAATTTGCGCCATTAATTTGCAATGACAAATTCTAAAGATTTATAGTCCACCTTTTCCAAAGAGGTTGATCAGAGGGTAAATACATTTAGACAGCCTGTACCATTAATTGTCACTGGGAACCTCATGGAGTACTGGCATTTCGCAGGGAATCGTCATTAAGTACTTAATTGTCAGTGGCTTGGGGATTTTCCTACTTGTCAGTTTTCATTTAGCTTTCATAAGCATGCAGTCAAAAATAGCTGGGCTTTTTGCGTAGCAGCACTTGGTGGGTAGACTTATTTTGCAGGAATGAGTTCAGCTGTACAATAACCAACACACAGTGTAGGTTAATAATATGAACTTAGGCAGTACTGTTTTATTGAGCTTTAATGTTTAGGATAATTGGTTTAAATGCTTACAACAATGACAATTACTCATAAAGCTTTATGTATTTTGGCAAGAAAAGTGCAGGGATTGCAATACAACTGCTGATTTACTCTTAAAGTCTGTGGTATTACAGACTAGTATTGCGATTCTGTCTGTGGTCAATTGCAACTGTAAGATTAATAATAAGAAAGGTCTCTCGTATTAATTGGAGCAGACTGAATGGAGAAGCAGGGAGAGAAACAGGGAGTTTTTTTATAGGATGCAAAAGTATCCCTGGGCCCAGTGTAAGAAAATGCATTAAGGCAGCCCATAGGAAGCATGCTGCTTTAATTCAGATGCCTGCAGAAGAACACACTTATTAGATTTTCATATATCACTTTACTGTTACCACCCACTGAAATCAGTGGCAATACTCCAACTGAATTTGTTGAAAGATGTTTTCAACAAACAAAACTATTTTGTCTTGTGGAATTGCTCAAGTAATTTCAGACAATGACACAATAAAACAGATATTTGTTACTGAAACAGTTATTCCATTTGTTCTGAGGACCAGAAGACATAGTGCACTGCTAAGAGTAATTCCTGGGTACTTATACCTCTCACAACTTGTGTCCTGTGTAATTTTGTTCGTTGCAGAGACTGAAGGCCTAAAATATTGAACTGTACAGTAAGTCTCCAAGTGTGTAAAATTAATAATATATAACAAAAGAAGCGATAGTGTGAATGGAAATTTAATGATAATGTATTTTAAATAAGCTCTTGAGTTTAATATAAACAGGTTTTTCTATGGTTTTGAGCTTAATGTCTTCTCTCCATTTAGTTTGAATGAAGCATGGAATGTGAATCAACAGAGATTCAACACATACAGATTAGCCTCTGTGTGAGTTCTTGTTCTACTAGTAAGGAGTACTCCTTAGTGTCTTTTTCCTCCTTAATATGATAGTAATTATTATTATGCCTTGTGGAAGAGGAAGCCTGTCTATGCATCCAAAATAATGGTCCTCCAAAACCCAATTTTTACTACTTAATGGTATTTAGTTTCTCTGTTTCAAGCAGTTTTCAATGAGAAAATTACATTAGGACAACAATCTTGGTATAGCTGCTAATGGTTTCAATCAAGAAGAGAACTTAGCTTTTTGTTTGCAGTGACAAATCTCTACTCCCAGTGTGTCTAACATCTTCCTATACCACATAAATGGCTGTGAAACCATAAATGCCTGTGAAAAGTGAATAGTTGGAGTGAAAATGCCATTTTAAGGATTCTGACTCCAGAATTTTGAATGCTAACGGTGTGGCAATGGACTCTCTCCACCTCAATCCCTTGTTTCACTCTAGGGAAAGTTCAACTGGTGGATCGGGACGTGAAGAGGGACCATAGACTCAGGTGGCAACTGCTCTTCCACAGTTGTGCAGCGTGTCCTGGGCAAAATAGAGTGAAAGACGGCCAGATTACTGTGACCCAGCTTGCTGTACAGTATAGAGTTTCTGTAGTTAAAGGCCAAAGGATAAGCTCCATGATTCTCCTGTGCCTCTTTGAACCTGCCGTTCTTTGTATTAGACTTTCGTTTGGGTAAGGCATGCATTGGCAGTAAAAAAGAATTTTTGTCTCTTCCAGTACTCAATCTGCAGTGAGCCTTTAATTGAGTTATCCAACCCAGGTGCCAGTGGGTCCTTATTTTTTGTAACTAGTGATGATGAGTTCATCATTAAAACAGTTCAACACAAGGAGGCTGAATTTCTTCAGAAGCTCTTGCCAGGTTACTATATGGTAAGTAATTGAAAACTATGTTTTACCTGTATTTTTTCTGTTTCTTGTCACACTTCTGAAGATTCAGTTTCATCTGTTGTCTTTTAATGTTTCATTGGCTTTATCCATATTTTTCATAACATTTTTGACATTTTTTACCTATCTTCCAACTTTGTACTGCAGACACCATCAGAAAGAGTACATACACATCAGGAATATGTTTAAGATAATAACTGCTGTTCTTTCAGCATTCAAGATGAAGCTGAATGTCATCTTCTGATTTGATACCAAACCTGGCTTCTAATAAGCTAGTAACAAAACAGTTTCTGAATTTCTGATTCAGCTTTTTTTTTTTTTTCCTCTCAATTTTGTGCATTTCACTTAGAGTGGACAGAGAAACAAGACCGGACAGTTTCACTTTTGTTTTTGGACTACTTCTAATTTTCATTTCTCATGTAATGACATATAATTTATTCAAAACTTAATTTTTAAATGGAGCTTTTTGAGGGCTACTGCGAAGTTGCTTGTGTTGTTTTATGTGTGTCAAGTCATCAGAAAGGGCAACTGTTGATCAAATGTATATAGTACTTAATTCTTCCTTTTAGAACAAAAGCCACTTGTACATGCGAACAGAGATTCTTCTCGGTGGTATACAGGACTTTGGAGTATTAGACCTGTGACTGACTTTCTTTTCTTGCTTTGCTTTCTTAAGTAAACCCTTGAAAATTTACTCTCTTTCTTGTACTAAAAGTGAGGACTATTGTCATTATTACAGTGAAGTAATATGGATTCACTTTTTGTTTCATGGTGGCAGGTACCTTTTTAGTTGTTTCTAATTATGATAATCAACTCAGTATATGCTTGAATTATTGCAAGTAGTCCACTTTGCTTTTCTTCTGGGAGCTATATTCTCACTGCTACCGTGTGCAAGAGTTTACAAAATATAAAACTTCAATTACTGTGATTATTCCTTGTGACAGTATTTTATGCCCATATTTGTATGTTGTGACTTAATAATCATTTAAGACTTGAAGTAGTTTTTCTCCTTCTTGTTTTTTCATGCCAAAACCTGAGAATAATTGTATTCAGGAGGAGGATTTTCACTCTCACCTCTCTTATCCCCTCCTATTAATGTTTTATTTGTTGTGGAATTTGGATTTGTTTACACTTTTCTGTTCTAATGTTCAGTTGTGGTTCTGTTATGACCTCACACTCCTGTGGAAACAACTTGGTCATTTGACACAAACCTTCAGTGTGAAGAGCCTCATAGGGCTAGCGGTTCTGTTTTTTAGAATCCAAGTTACGGTAATGAGAAATACATTTGACCCAAAATCCTTCCAGCTAGTAGAATGCAAAGGTTGTTCTTGTCAGAATAAATAAATTAAATCTTCAGGATGCTTTTAGGTCTGACCTAGGCTGCTCTTTCATGGGATGTGGGAAGGAGAAATCTGGCATAAATGCAGGCCGGTTGCTCTGCTCTTGGCCTGTGTAAGTTCCTGGCAAAAAAAGCAGTGTTTATGCTAGCATTTTGAAATACAGAACCACAAAGATAATCAAGTAGTGAAATAAACTATATCATAGAAGAAAACAAGCACAGCTTTCTTGACATTTGTTAAAATCATTTGGTATTAAAAAAAAACCAACAAATTTCAGGCATGGAAGTTTATTTGAATAGGCATATTTAACAGTATCTTTTTTGTTTTAGAATCTGAACCAGAATCCAAGGACTCTTCTACCCAAATTTTATGGGCTGTACTGCGTTCAGTCAGGAGGCATTAATATTAGAATTGTTGTAATGAACAATGTTTTGCCACGAGCCTTGAAAATGCATTTCACATATGACCTGAAAGGTTCCACATACAAACGGAGAGCATCAAGAAAAGAGAGGGAGAAGTCCAATCCTACATTCAAAGACTTGGATTTTTTGCAAGACATGCATGAAGGGTTGTATTTTGACACTGAAACACACAGCGCACTGATGAAAACACTACAGCGAGATTGTCGAGTGAGTAAAAATTATTGACTATGTAAACTTCTGTGTTCTCATTTGTTCTAGATTTATCCTAGCAAAACAGAGAGCAGAATATGCCTCTGTATGTTGTTTTACCTCCATTCCTTTTCCATGCAATTTAATTAGGAAAAACTATGGAAGTCAATGCACTGATGAAGCCAGTATTTTAGTTAAGCTGTTGAGATCTGAGATCATATAATCATGGAATGGAACATCCTGAGTTGGAAGCAATTGACGAGAGTCATCGAGTCCAACTCCTGACTCCACACAGGGCAATCTGAAAGTTGAAGACCAATCTAAAAGAGCATCGTTCAAATACTTCTTGAACATCAACAGGCTTGAGGCCATGACCACTTCCCTGGTGAACTTGGGACTGGTGAACTTGGTGAACTGGTGCTTGACCACTCTCTCACTGAAGAACATTTTCCAGACATCCAATCTGAACTTCCCTGATGGAATTGTAAAGCCATTCCTTCTCATCCTATCACCATGTACCAGAGATCAGCACCAAGCTTTCTGCCCCGTCATGAGGAAGTTCTAGACAGCAAAGAGATTGCCCTTCAGTCTCTTTTTATCTAAGTTGAACAAATAAAATATGCTTATCCGCTCTCACAAATTGCCCTGTCACCCTCCCTTGTTGCCCTCCCTTGGACAGATTCTGATATTTTTGTACCCTTCACATATTGTGGAGCCCAAAAATGCATACAGGACTTGAAGTGAGGCTACACCAGTTCTGAGTATAGTAGGACAATCACTTCTTTCAACCAGTCAAATGTACTGTGCTTAACACACCCCATGGCATGGCTGGCCATTTTGGCCACTGAGGAACATTGCTGACTCGTTGAGCTTACCATCCAGCACAACCCTCAGATCCCTTTCTGCACGGCTGTCCCTGCATTTGTCTGCACATGCAGGATTATACCAATGCATCTGTGAAAATACTGATTAATATAGAAAAGTAGTCCAGTAGAGGTTGAGATTTTTTCATACTTCCATTAGTTTGAACATTTCACTCTTTTTTTCCTGAGCCGCAATTAGCCACATGGTACCGTTGTTTCATACAGTAAACTGTATGTAGAGCTGCAAGCTCAGTGCTGCTGCGGTAAGTGTGCCTCTGTGTAAGTTAACAAGAGCTAGGAAGCTGAATGGGGGAGATGTGTGTAGTGGCAGCAGTCTTATTTCTGAAGTGAAATAATTTTTTCCTCAGCTGAAAGGTAATGCTTAGCATTTTCAAGGAAGGGAAAGGATATCCACCATTGACCTTTGAGAGGGCCTTGGTAAATGGAATCAGTGCTTCTTGTGGACAGGGAGAATTTGATGTGAGATGGAATTTTTTCTGTAGCAAAGGTAAAAAAATATAAAATAGGAAAAGTTATCCAGGCCTCTTTCACAGGATTCCTAGGGCTTGTGCCAAGAAAAGATTGGCTTTTTCTAAGGGGAATCCTAAGAATTTCATGATAAAACAGCAGAATGGGTAGGCTGAACTCATCACATAGCAGAGGCATGCTGAATTTCAGAGTTTGTTGTGTGAATGCCACCTGTGCTGCAAGATGGAAAGCATTGTTTTTGCACATGAATAGTACTTTTTGTTTAATCATCACAGAAATCTGCAGTGCCTTGTGCTTGGGTTGTAAAACTGGGTGACCTAATGTTCAGCTGCATATTCAGCGTGAGACATTTATCTAACACCACATATTGTTCTTTCTGTAGCCTCTTGCAGTGAGTGTTTCCTGAGCTCCTGCCATGTGTTATCTCTGATGCAGAATGCAACCGTATGTCACATCTGGGGATCTGGATGCCCTTTTGTGCATCCACCCACTTGTCAAAGGTTACTTACCCAGTCAAAGCCTGGGGGACTCTGTTGTATAGAAAGTAATAAATGGAGTCTAAAAGAGGCAGCTGGACTGAAAAGTAAAACCAAGAATCAGTCATTTAATTGTTACATATAAAAGAGGACTCTTACTGGTTCTTTGGAAGTGTGGGTAAATTCTTGCTACTTATTGTTTGACTGCTGAACTGAATGTCATTTTTTTCAGTGTGTAATCCTGTATTGGCAACTGTAACGTTAGTCTGGAATTCTTGAATGTCCAGCTAAGTCTTAATATTATTAAAAGAAAATTATCTTTAAACAATCAATGTGTGTACATAAATACACATATATACAGTAGTATAGTGTATGTCTGTAGATATATATATGCACACTGAATGTTATATGCATTAGAAAAAACCTGGCGGTTTTTTCTGTTCAAAGAAGTCTTTGCTGCCTGTTGTAAAAGAAAGGGAGCAGACACCATTATCTTTCACACGGCTGAATTTGCTGAACCAATGAGCTTGAATCTGACTACTTCCTTTGTGCTACTGCCTTTAAAAAGAGAGATAATCCATCCATTTTGGGAACAGGACATCAGTTTTTGCCACTGCTTTTTTCTGCCCATATGATACTTGGATAGCTACATAGTGCGAGTGATAACTGACCATTATTTTTAGGGCTTTAAGACTTTTCCGTTTACTCCAAAGTGAGAAAGTTAGCATAGGCACTGAAATTAAAAATTCATTAAAGAAAGGAAACTTTGTATATTGATAGTATTTCAGGACTAAGAAATTATCTTCTGTGTTGCACAGATTTGGATTATATTTTCTTTGTTCATATTTGCAATCAGAATCAGTAAGAAATGTGGGTTTTTTCCTGCTTCTTTAATATAAATGTGCCCAGCTTGTAGCCCCTCTCCTTCTTAAGTCCTGTCACTAAATGCAGAGGCAGCACTTGCTGGTGATGACCGAGGAGGTGGTGGGCACATGCTGTGATCTTTGTCTGCTATCACTCCCACCCCACTCAGCAGTGGGCCCACATTTTCCGTGGTGAGAGTTTTACATTAATATAGCAGTAGAATCTCTTCTTCAAGCCCCTGACATCCATTGCAAGTCTTAAGTCTCTGAGCCATAGGATCCTTGACAATAATCGTAGAATCATAGAATGTCTTAGGTTGGAAGGAACCTTAGAGATCATCTAATCCAACCTCCCTCTCATAATGAACCCCACCCCCCCTGCCATAGGCAGGGACGCCTTTCAACTAGACCGGGTTGCTCAAGGCCTCATCCAGCCTGGCCTTGAATGTCTCCAGCGAGGGGTCATCCACAACGTCTGTGGGCAATTTGTTCCAAAGTCTTGCTGCCCT